GTAGAAGATGATGAGATCGTCGACGTAGACTCCGATGATGAGCTCGTCGTCCTCATGAGAGTGGCGGTGACCTCCAAGATCTTGGTGGCGACGTCGGCAGAGGCGGCGGCGGCGCGGCGCGCGGCGAGCAGGGCCTCGGACTCGCGCCGGACCCGTTCCCGGATGGACGCTTCGAGGGTGCCGATGAACTCGAGGAGCAGCTGGTGTAGCTCGTGGTGCGTTTTGGCCTTGTGGTCGCGGCGCTCGTTGAGCCACATGACGGCGTGCCACAGCTGCTTGAACTCGGCGAGGACCTGCTCGGCCTCCCGCCCGAAGCCGCCGGCGAGGAGGGGCGTCCGAGCGAGCTCAACGTAGGCCCGCTCCTGGAGGTCGGGGTCGGCACCGGAGACCTTGGAGTAGAGGGCCACAAAGAGGTTGGTTGCGGTGGCAAGTCCAGGAAGCCCGTCGACGAGGCGCATGATCTCCTCGCGGGGCCGCTCGCCGACGACGATCTTGTCGAGGAGGACCTGGTAGACGGCGTTGTTGATCGCAGCGAGGGCGCGCTTGTCCACGTTCGAGACGGAGACGAACCGGTTGAGCTCGGTGTCGTCCACCAGGGTGCGGGTGACGGTGGTAGCGGGGCCTCCAAACTGTTGGGGCAACTTGATCTTGTTGGCGAAGAGGAGCTCAACGTACTCGGACATGCTCGTGCGACGCTCCGGGGCGTCCGACTGCTGGTACAGCTTGATCAGCGCGTCGGTGTCGCTCGCGATGACCTTGCTGGAGAGGGGTTCGATGTAAATGGTGCCCCCTGATGCGATGAGAATGAAGATGCCGGTCCGCGTCCTCTGGTCGCTGGAGGTGCTGACCTTGAGGAGGGTGCCGGCATAGGCGAGCGTGCCGGCGCCCGCCTCGATGTTGTTTCGCTTGAGCCACTTTGCGGCTTCTTCAGAAGCGGCTTTTGCGATGACTGCGACATCTTTGGCGGGGACCTCCCCGAGGTCCCCGGCCAGCGAGTCGCCGGTCATGTCTGGGATAGCGTGAAGGTGACTCCCCCAAAGTGCTGGTCGTGACCAGTTGACGCTGCCACGTCCGGCCGTGCCCCGCGGGGGCGCGGTCGGCACCAGAAGGGGGTTGATACGTTCTCTAGAGACGACGTAGTCGTGGACGGCCGCAATCACAGTGGACGGACACGACAAGACGAGTGTGAAAGCACGGGGGCAGCAAAACACACTAGGGTTCGGGAGAAGGCTAGGGTTAGGGAGAGAGTGCCTGACGGGCTTCGGCCCGACGCCCACAACGTGTGAGTGAGTGAGTGAGTATTCTTGATACGAAACCACGACGACACACACCAGTCGACTCGCATCGGTTGCCTCCATGAACGGCGGAGCTATTCTCGCGCCCACACACACACACACACACACTCACATTATGTCCCACCATGCAGAGCGCATCTCTCTCTCTGTTGTGCGAGGCGTGAACCGCGCCATTCGCTCTCACCTGGCAACCCTGTCTGCACGTCTCGCGCGCGCGTGAACAGGGCTCCAGGCCCCAAATTACGTGTGAGTGTTAGAGTTGTTGTTTTGGTTTTCACATTATTAACAACGAAGGCGGGAACTAGCCGGGGCAGTCGGAGAAGGGGCAACTCCGTGCACTGACGGCCGGCCCTCAGAAAACACGCCTGCGTGGATCGCGTCACACTTTCCTCGCTACCCTCCTCGCGAGCTCTCAAAAAAAAACCGGCGGGTCGCGGCCGTTTCCTGGTGCATAGCGGGCGGGTCTCTTCGCACAGATGGTGGACGACTCCGGCGGCGAGCCGATGCTCGATCCGGACCACCCTATGCTGGCGCGCGTGCAGGAGGCGCTGCGGCGCCAGATGAGCAAGGCGCGCGAGGTCAAGGTGCAGAGGCTGCAGGACCAGCGTGAGGAGTTGGCGCGGCAGGTGCGCAAGCGGGAGGACGTGGGCGTCAAGCTGTACCAGGCGCAGCAGCAGCTGGCCAAGCTGCAGATGGGTCTGGAGAAGGCGCACGACAACGGTGCCCTCGTCCACCAACAGCGCGAGGAGGCGGAGGCGGAGCTCGGCCGCGTGCGGGGCGCGTATGGCGAGGCGCTCGGCGAGTCCAAGGAGCTGCGCGGGCGGTACGAGAAGTACCAGTCGGAGCTGGACCAGCTGGCGGCGACGATCCGCCAGGTCGAGGCCTTCAACGAGCAGATGCGCTCCGAGATAGCGGTGACGCGCCGTGCGACGTACAAGGCCGAGGAGGCGGTCTCGAAGCTCGAAGGCGACAAGCGCTCGCAGGACCACCTCATTGACGCACTGTCGGAGCGGCTCAAGCGGGAGCAGGAGCAGCTGTCGCTCACCGAGGCGCAGATCACCTCGCAGCGCAAGGAGTCCGAGGGCGCCCAGTCGACCTTGCGCGCCGCGTCGGAGGAGATGGAGGCGATCCGGTTCGAGAAGCGGCAGCTGCAAGCGCAGTGGAAGACGTCGCTGGTCGGGCTCGAGAAGCGGGACGAGGCGCTGCAGGCGGCGGAGGAGGCGATCCGGAAGCAAGGCGAGCAGCGGAGGACGCTGGAGGCGCAGTCGGCCGGGCTGCGCAAGGCGGTGCTTGCGGAGGAGGAGGGCCATGAGCAGCTCACTTCCACGTCCAACAAGCTCGGGGCGGAGCTGCGCGGCGTGGAGGCGCAGATCGAGGCCGGCCGAGAGAAGCGGGCGGCGGCCGAGGAGAGGGTCGCGCTCATCCACAAGTCGCTCGAGCAAACGGAGGCGGAGATCGCGCGCGAAGGCGCTGATTTTGCGCAGAGGCAGAGGGAGGTTGCGGCCGTGGAGGGCCAGGTGCAAAAGGTGCAGCAGGCGGCGCGCAGGCTCGAGGAGTCGGTGCTGAGCAGCGTGGGCGAAAAGGTGGCGCTGGAGCGCGGGACGCACCACGCGATGCAGGAGGCCAAGAAGGTCCGCCAGAAGATCGACGAGAGCGAGACGGCCGAGGCGCAGCTGCGGAACGAGCTGGCGCGGCTTAAAGTGGACGGCCTCAACGTGCGGTCGCACTCGGCGCAGCTCGAGTCGCAGCTGGCGGAGCTGAACGAGGAGCTCGAGGAGGCGGATGGCGTGGCGCGGCAGTACGAGGTGGAGTCGCGCCGGCGGGAGGTCGAGGTGGAGAAGAAGCAGCACGAGCTCGACGGGCTGAACCGCAAGTTCGAGGCGCTGATGGAGAAGCGGGCCGGTGTGGCGGGGCTCGACGAGGACGCGGGGCCGCTCGAGGCGACCATCGCCAGCCTGAAAAAGGAGATCGGTGCTAAGGCGGCCGATTGCGCCCAGACGCAGCAGCGGTGGGTGCAGAAGCAGGCCGAGCTGGTGGCGGTCGAGACGTCCAATGGCGGAGTGGCGGACGCGATGCACGAGCAGCGCAGCCGGCTTGCGATCCTGAGGCAGAAGCAGCTGCGATTCGCCGCGGAGCTGGAGGGCGAGCGCAAGGAGCGCAAGGCGGTTGAGCGCGCCTCGGAGAGCCAGCGGCTCGAGATGAGCAAGGTGAACCGCGCGGCAGCGGAGTTCGAGGGCAAGCAGTCGGCGCTTGCTGAGGAGAACTATGCGATGGAGGCCGGCTTCAAGCAGCGGCTCAAGGAGTGCGAGGTGGAGGCGCTCGAGCTAGAGGCGAGGATCATCTCACTCAAGGAGGAGAAGGAGCAGTACCTGCTCGACGTGACCGAGGCGGAGAAGCAGGCGCGCCTCATCGAGGAGAAGATTGCTCTTCAGCGTGAGACGCGGGCGGCGCTCGACCCGACGGTTGGCGCGTCCGAGACGCGCGCGATGCAGCGCGAGATCCACCGGATGCAGCTGCGCTACTCGCAGCTGCAGCGGCGGCAAGAGATGATGGTGGCCGACATGGAGCGCAATGTGTACAAGCGCGACAACATCGAGGCCAAGGGGAAGACTGCCGCGGGCCGCAAGGGCGCTCCGCCGACGCAGGCGGCGCTGCGCAAGCAGGTGGACGAGCTGAGCAAGAAGCTGCGCGCGACGACGCAGGAGGCAAACGTGACCCAGCTCGAGGTCAAGAAGCTGCTGGCGGCGCAACAGGCGCGCGGCGAGGAGGTCGACCGCGCTCACCGCGCGTGCGAGGAGGCAAAGGCGGCGGCACGGGAGATGCAGCGGGCGGTGGCAAACCAGGAGCGCGAGGCGCGGCTGCTCGAACTCCCCCTCCGGCAGCACGAGCGGCTGGTTGGCAAGCTGCGCGCGGCGGCGGACGGGTCGTACCAGCCGACCGCGCAGCTCAGCCAGCAGCTGGCGGAGAGCGAGGTGGTGGCGGTCAGGCTGCAGCAGGTCGCGAGCGAGCTGAGCGCGCACTTTACACACTTGGCGCCGCAGATTCAGGCCGCGGTGGCGGCTACCTAGCCATGGATCACCCGCGCTTGCCACCACCGCCACCGGCCGGTCCGGCGGGCGGCCGAGACGGGCCGCCAGTTTGTGGGGTCGTCTGCAAGACGTCTTGGCAAGAGCCGTCGGGCGCGGTCGCAAATATATCAGGGAGGTGGGCGCGGAACTCTTCTGTCTTGGGGCGTGCTCGCTGCTGTCTGCTCTCGAACATCAGAGGATATATGTATTGTTTCGCCGTTTAAAACCAGAGGGTCGGTCCCCATAGTCTGAGGGTTAGGTTTCTGGAGCCTCGGGTGCTTTTACGCTTTTGATCGGGTCAGGGGAGAGTGCGACTTTTACCACTTTGGTCGTCTCGGAGCGCCCAACTTTTAGCATTTTTCAAGTTTTTCTTCGGCGCTGCGCGCCGGGTGCAGTAAGTACTAGCTATCCGTCCCGCAAACGCCGCAAACGGCAGAAGTAGTTCCTGCACACTATGCCTAGAAAAATGCCGCTCGCCTCGAAAGCGCCCGCCGGTGTGTGTCCAAACACATGCAGCGCTACAAGTTTGTCACACATTGATAAGGGCGCTGCTGAGCACGAGGCTGAGGCGCTGAGCCGCTGAGCCCGGGGCTCTTTGCGGCGGCGGCGATGCGAAAGGTAAAAGGATCTGGTGGCGATGAAGGTGGTGGAGCTCAAGGAGGAGCTGGGCGAGCGTGGCGAGGCCCTCTCGGGCAACAAGGCGTGGCTGCGCCGCCGGCTGCACGCCGCTATAGCGAGCGAGGATTTGGAGACCGCGCTGCGGGCGCCGCCGGAGAGCAGAATGTCCAAAATTTTCGCGCGCGCCTGCGGCGCGCGACTTTTACCATTTTGCCCCGGGCGGGCCCACTTTTGTCGTTTTGCCCCAAATCTACGCCCGGGCGTGCTTTTAGCGTTTTGACCCAAATCGGCCGAACTTTTAGGATACCCTCAGACTATGTCGGTCCCGAACACGGCGACCACGCCCACAGGCACAGCCACATTACGGCTTTATAGAGAACCGTACGGTCGCGAGCTACATATGTACGCAAAACAGCGGGAAGATTCTCACCCTACCCGTCTCCGTCTCCCTGCACGCCTTAAACCTCACTCCGGGAGGTCATAGACCGACTCACGCATGCACCACTCCCGCGTGCTCTGCTCGTAGGCCGCGTCGCCGCCCGCGAAAAACGCCGCGCCTTGACCGCACGCGCGCTCTCTCCGCGCGGCGTCGTAGGCGGCCTGTAGCTCGGCGTAGTTTCCAATCTTTTCGCGCAGCGTCGGGCTCCGGTCCTGCACGTGGTACCGGGTCGCCGCGTTCGCAAGGACGCCGCTGACGCCGCGCCGCGCCCAGCAGCACGAGTCGACGCGCGCGAGCCGCTCCACCACGAGGTCTGCCTTGGCCTCCACGGATGGCAGCGCATTGAACTCGTCGTAGCCGATGTCGACCGCCGGCGGCCGCCGCCTTGTCCCGTGTGGGCAGATGCCGTGAGCGAGGCAGCGCAGGCACGCGGCGCCCGCCACGTCCCTGTCTAGCTGGTCGAGCGTGTGCGGGATGGACAGGTTCAGCTTGCAGTCGGTCGAGTCGGCGTTGACGAAGCCAGAGCAGCCGCCGCTGATCTTGGCCGCGGAGACCTGACGGGTGGCAGGTGGGGCCACCCAAGTGGATTCAAGGAGGTGGAGCGTTGAGGGCCGAGACATAGGGCGCCACACCCTCCGGTGGAAAAAGTTGCGCCGCAGCCACAGCGAGCCATCGGTCCTCGCGCGGCTGATGCCGGTGTTATCCGCCCGCTTCCAAAGGTCGAGGCACTGGTGTCCGAATATCTTGAAGGTGACGGTAGGCCGGCCCAGCGCGCGGCCGAGCTGCTCCGCAATGCCGACAGCCCGCGCAGGCTTTTGACGAAGAAGGCGCTGCAGCTCGGCCGTGACGCCTTTGTGCTCGTGGCCGCTGCGGTTGCTGCCAGCGCCGAGCTGCTCGATGAAGAACGAGACCGCGCGCGCCGCGAGGTGAGCGGAGTGGATGTTGAGGTGCGAGAAATAGTTGAACAGCTCGAAAAGGGGAAGCACGTGAGGCGAGTCCTATGCGGAGGCAGGGCGGGTGGGCGGGTTGCGATCCACGGCGTTCGTCGCGTCTGCGCCCACACCTTGCCGCCGGGGGACATCAGGCTCATGAAGACCGAGGAGCCGGAGCGTGCGTCCGAGAGGAGCGGGATCACGCGCGGGCCTCCGGCGCAGGTGGCGACGCCGGCGGGAGGCATGCGAGTGCAGCACGCAGGCGGGCGATTCATTGTAGCGGGGAGTGATAAGGCGGCCTCCTGTCTGCTCACTTTCGCGACTTTGGTCCGGCACACGTGCGTTTCACGGCGGCGTCGGCGGCGCCCGCCGCGTGCGGCTATTGTTTTGTTATCGACGAGTACGATCCGAAAACCGCAATTCGTTTTTATCACTACAATTCTTTTTTTGTTGGCCATGGCGCCGCTCATCAAGCCACCGGCTTCCGAGCGCCTCGTGTTGATCCCAGCCATCAACAAGAGGAGCACGACTGGCTACAAGAACGTGAGCTACAGCCGCACGCAGCGAGAAGAAGTTCCACGCGCAGGTGCAGGTGCCGGATGGCGGCAAGCAAGTCCACCTCGGCTACTTCGCCACCGCCGAAGAGGCGGCCACCGCCTACGCTCGCTCAGAGTACGGCCGCGCCGACGCCGCCAAGCTGCTGCATAGACTTATTCACATGCTGGGCAAGCGGTACGGCCAAGCGTCCGTTGAAGAAGAATTCTTAAGATACAAGCCTCTCTCACAGCACACCGTTGAAGAAGAAGGTCTCGGCGATGATCTCCTGCGTCGCCGTGAGAACATTCGGAGACGGCATGCTGAAGCTGTAGATGTCGAAGTCGACGAAGACGTATCCCACCAGTTGTGGTTGACCGCGGAAGAGGCGATGGCCAGGTATTCGGTTGCCGACTTGAGGGTGCTGTAGTTGCCGATTCCAGGGTCCAGGGGTTTTTTTACGTGCGATCCGGAGGCAATCAGTAACCGGAGGCTGGTTACTGAGTAGCATATACCTAATAACGCGAGTAGCTAATAACAAGCTAATTGTTAGGCAAATAACAGCGCGTATTCGGTGCTTATTAGGCTAATAACGCGAGTCAAGCTAATAACAAGCTAATTATTAGGTATATGCTAATAACTAGGTACGTTATTAGTCTAATAAAACCATTGAGATGTCTGCTCTATTTACTTACTTAGATCTATTTATAAACCATTGATGCAGAGAGGTGGTGGAAAAGATAGCCCCCTCGCAGGGTCCAGGGAGCAGGGAGCAGGGAGCTTCTGCGAGACGGCCGCCAGAAAAAAGAACCCGGGAATTCGTTGGCACAGAAACACGAACCAACTTATTACAGAATCCCCAGAGGCCGAGCCACTTGAGAGGTCCTCACACAGCCAGCACACAGCTGGAGGTCCTCATCGGAGGTCCTCTCACCTCAAAGGTCCTCCACCTCGAGGGTCCTCACTAGCAGATGGAAGCGCTGGGCCTCATCTGCGTCATCACATGCAGCAGTAGCGTGCGCTCCGTGCGCACAATGCCGCTCTCCCTGCATGCTAGCTCGTTCGCCGTCTCAAGTGGCGAACAATGGACAACCCTCAGGGTGCCGCAGACCTCCTTTCCAAAGCCTCCGTAGTCTCGAAATCGAACAAACACACACCCCACTCTCCTCTCGCACGGCGACTCGGATTTCGGCGGAACTATCTCTGGGAGCTGTGGGGCAGGCTGCGAGCGTGGCGACGAGGAGGTTGGAACACGGCAATGCCCGAGACGTGACTCTCGAGACAGACAGACGGCTTTATCAACGCGGATGGAGGCCCAGTCAGCAGGCTGCAGCTACCAGGCGTGATTGAGCTAAACCAGGCACGATCGTCGGTGGGACTACGTCGCGCGATCGCCACAAACTCCCATAAAAACAGGGGCAAGCAAAAAAAATTGCGCTCCGCGAGACCTCGATAGAGTAGTGCGAAGGCGCTCTTTTTGATTGAAAATAGTACCCCACATTCCCCCGACGGCCTTTGCCTGACATCCACACGAGGCACACCACGCACTTTCCTCGTCCGCTCGCGCTTGCCGCGCCGCATTGCGCCCGACTATGCCGCCGCGAGCTGCACGCCTAGACCCCCGCGACGCCTATCGCTCACGGAACCCGCCGCCCCCTCACCACCCCTACCATGCGATGCGCCGCGCCGCGCGAGCGGCTGCACCCCCCTCGGCCTCGCACCGCCTGCCTACTCCCGCTCGCAGGTACAGCCGCTGCCATCGAGGAGGCCGCGAGACGCGTCCGCTGCTGCCCATTCCCCACCCTTGTCTATGGCGACCATCGTGGCCGCAGCCCTGTGCGCAAAAGTGGGAGGGGACGCTCAGGAGCAGCCCGTCCTGTGGTGCGACCACGTCGCTGTCGACGAGGCTGCGTGCCCGCCTAAGTGGCTGCAAAAAGCGCCCGAAGGTCTCGCCCCCATCGTGGCTGTGACTGCATACCACGTGAGTCTCGACGGCTCGCTTGGTGTGTGTGGCGACAACAGCACGGTGGACGGTTCGGCCTATCGGATGTGCGAGTGGAAGGGGGACGAATCGCCTGAGGAGCTTCTCTCGAGAATCGCTCCCACGACGACAACCTTCGCGGCCGTGTACAATGACATGAGTGCGGTGGAGGACCCGTATTACAACGGCGGTTTCGGGCTCTACATGCTGCGTAGCATGATCTCTCAGCGCGAGGCGTTCATCTCCAAGCTAGTCTCTGCGGTAGTCAAGCGCGGCGCCCATGGCGTCACATTTGATCTCGAGCTCTGCTGCCCTGACGAGCGTGGGCGCTCGTGCGGCGGTCTCCTGCCGACAACAGACGACTCTATGGCCTACGCGCGGTTCCTCTCTCAGCTCGGCGATGCGCTCCACACGGCCGGCAAGCTGCTTCACGTTATGGCGCGGCAGAGCTGCTGGCAAGATGAAGCGATCCTCGTGCGTTCCGCCAAGAGCGTCGACCGATGGCTGAGTATGACCGCGGCCGCAGTGCCAGCGACGCAGCGACGTCTTCGCTCGCACAGTCACTTCCCATTCCCGACACCCAACGGTTCTCGTTTTATCCTCGGCGATGGCAGCTTGGCCTCGGGCTCCGTCGGCAGCGACAAGTGTGACCACTGCCGGCGCGTTCGGCAAATCCTTTTCTCGGCTCAGCCATGCCTGTGCTAATGGGGGTCCTACAGTCGAGTATCGCCGCCGCAAAAGGCGAAAGCGCTGCGGCGGCCACTGTGAAACGATGGCCTCTGCATCGTCGAGAAGCTAATCGATGCGTGTCCCCACACCTCTCCTTGCTGCGCCCACGAGCACTTCTTTTTGCCTCTTTTAGGCACAAGTATTTTCGGGTCCTCTCCCGCGCCCGGCGGCAGATTCTTGCGCACATCGCCTAGAATGTCCCTCATCGCTACCCGCATCGCTTCCTTCGGCATGCTTGGGTAACAGCTGTCGACGTCGTTAATCTCGTAGCTAAGTTCGCCCTTCCCTCGGAGCGCCTCGGCCGCCTCTCTCAGCATTTGGGGCACACTTTGGCAATCATGCTGAATGAAGTGCTCACCCTTCAGGTGCCGCAGTGCGAAACTCCACGCCCGGCCCACGAGGCTCAAGAGCTTCGCCATCGGGTGTTTCGCGTACGGTGTGATCGGTCTCGCTTTGTGCAGCTTCCGAGCTCGTACTGCCGAGTCAGTCACATTCTTTGCCTTATACAGCGCGTACGGCGCAGTTACCCTTCCTTTGCTATCGAATTTGGTGATCTTATGCCATCCCTTCTTTCTGTAGAACCATCGCGTCGCGTCGAGCGTTCCGTCCGTACTCAGCTGGTTCGCCCGTACCCGCGACCGATCCTCCGTCGTCATATGCTTGAGCAGCTCCTCAGCTCCATGCTTCTTCCTCTTATATGCCGTGTCCTTTAGCGGATACACACGCGTATAGTTGCCGTTTGAGGTGTCGAAGAGCGCGTCCAGCGTCTTCTCGTACGTGACGGGGCACGTAACAAAACACTCTCCGACATTCTTGTCGAGCCACCCTATCACGCTTCCTCGCAGGACACTCCTCACCTGAGAGCAACCTGGTTCGATGTGATCGCGTCCTCACATAGCATACACGTCTCATCCGTCTCTTCAAGAGTCTCAGCAAGTATCCGTTTCCACTCGCGCTCTCCCCCGCCCGGCTTCACGTACACTCGTGGGGAGGCTTCCGAGCGCCTTGTCCCGTGCCACACGCATGTCGAAGAGTGTTGGTTAATAAAAATCTCTCTCTCTCGCATGTCAATATATGTATTGCTAAAAATCTCTCTCTCTCCGCATGTCTCTCGCTGTCGGGACGGGCACATTCTTGTTGCTCCGGCGTAGCACCTCGGCGTGCGGGCCGCCGTTGTACTCTCGCCCGATGCAGAAGAATTTAAACAAAAGAACTCTCTCTCACAGCAGACAGGCTCGACACAGGTGCGAACTGGCGCGTGCTAGTACTATCAGATGCAGAAGAAAACCCGTAAAACACAGTGGTCGACCGGCTTTCGGCCGCACCGAACTCAGGTTTTACCCATTTTTGTCATGTTGCCCGAGACCTTCGAGCCACTCCCACCTGAGTTCGAGGCCCTCGTCGGCCGCCGCCCGGATCTCCAGCGGCTGCGGTTCTGGACAGTGTGCGATTTGGGCAGCGCCGACGTCGAGGCTACGCTGCTTGCTGCCGCCTTTGTGGTGCGCGGCGGGCACTTGTCAAAGTGGCGCAAGGGCGGCCGCGCTGGGACGCACGATCGGTTTATCAAGGTGGCCAGCAAGGACGGCGGCGCTGCGGGCGCCGTTCTGCTGTGGGAGTCGAAGCGCGGCGACATCGTGCGGGCCGATGACGAGATCTTCACGTCCTGCTTTGAGGGCACCGCCGAAACTTCTCAATGCTTCCAGGTCGTCCTTGAGCGGCGCATGCTCTTCTTCAGCGCGCACGCCAGCAGCCGGCAGCGCTGGTGCGAGGGCATCAACTGCCTCGCCTCCGGGAGGGTCCGCGTACTCGCGGCCACGACGCGGGCGGGTCGTGCCACCGCGGACAGTGCAACGCCGGACTACGTCGTGGTCCAGGACTGCGCCACTGGCGGAGTCTACGCGTGGAACACCCGCAATGAGGAGGCCAACTGGATTCGCTCCTCTGGTGTCCCCAGCTCCGCCGGCGCGTCTTCTTGCCGGCTGTCGAGCGACGAGCCGGCCGCACACTCGGTCTCCGATCCTGCAGACGCGGGGCACGAGGCGGGGGGCCGGCCCTCACCGCTCCCTCGGCTGACAGAGGTGATGTCGGGCAATGCCGCCGGCGACGCTTTCGTCGACGCGCCGCCGGCGCCGGTGCCGCCGACGACGCCTCCGGCGATGCCTCCACCGCTACCTCGGCTGGCAGAGCTGCCCGGGGGTGCCATCGACGCGCCATACGCACCGGAGACCGCGGGGCTGCCCCCGCCCCCGCCGCGCTCTGCCACGTGCAGCAGCGTCTCCTCCTGCTCCATCTCGTTTGGTCGGCGGTCGCTCGGCTCTGTCGGCTCTGATGCGCCGGATCGGTCGGGGAGGCGCGAGGAGCAGGCCGAGGCGGAGCGTCTGAAGGCCGTGGCTGCGGCAGAGGCGGCGGCGGCCCTCCATACGGCGTGCGCTTGGGAACGGCGTCTCTCCACACCTGCGACTGTGTGAGTAGGCGACGGAGGCCCTCCAGTCGGCATGCGCCTCCCAGCAGGCTGCGGTGCTCGCCGCTTCTCTCGAGCAGTTCGGGCCGGTTTTGGCGAGCAGCGAGCAAGGTCCGCGCGGGCCCTTGAGCAATCTCGGTTCATCTCCCGCCCTTGAGCAATCTCGGGTCATCTCCCGCCCTTGAGCAATCTCGGGTCATCTCCCGCACTTTGTGGCGCACCCGGTCTGAGTTGCACTTCGAACGCCTTGGGGCTCGTGCTTCCCCTCCGAGTGTGTAGCCGCCTGCTTGCCTCCCCTTTGTGCAGAGGCGTTCACTTGACCCTGTCCGTGCCGCAGGTCGTCGTGACCTGAAGGCGGCGCGTTCCTACCTGGTCCAGCTCCGCCTCGCTGCCGCAGCAGGCACGCGGCGCCCGCACGAGCTCGCGGCAGCCCTGGTGCAGCTGCGGGAGTTGGCCGATGGCGCGGACAGCGCGCCGGCGGACGAGGTGGCGCCGCTGCTGGGGCGCATCGAGACGACAGCGGCGGTGGCGGTGGCGGCGGGGGCGACGCAGCAGCAGCTCGCGTCCGCGCAGGCGGCGGCGACATCGCTACACGCCCGGCTGGTGAGCTTCGCCGCCGCGCGCGCCGAGGCGTTGGCGAGGCTACGCACCGCCCACGCCGCGGCGTCCTTTCCGTGCCCGCGTGGATTCACTGCGGATGGCGAGATCAGCCGAGATCAGCCGAGACTAGGCACGTGACGAGGCGTCCTCCCTCCCCCCGGCGGGGAGCACGGCAGTGCGGGCGGCGCTGCGGGCCGCCCTCGCTGTGGGCGTGGACGAGGACGCGGTGCGCTTTGCCCAGAGCTGGCTCGAGGGGCGCGACGCCGCAGAGGCGGCAAGCGAGGCCCGAGCGCAGCTGTCCACGGCGCTGCTTGCGGCGCGGGAGGCGCTGCGCGCCGCGGCGTCGCGTGGCCACCCCCTCAGAGACCTCGCGTGCCTCGCGCCTCTCGCCGCCGCGCTCGATGCCGCGGTGGCCGCCTCGCTGCCGGCCGCGGAGGTGGCGGCTGCGAAGGCGACGCTGCGCGAGCTAGAGGAGGCGTCTGCCAGGTTCGACGCGGAGGCTGCGGAGGCGCGCCTCGCGCTGGAGGGCTCCAGCCGCTCCGGCGACCCCACTCAGATTGAGGCGCGACACTCGTCGGCCCTCTCCCTCCCCGTCTCCCGGCCTCCCGCCTCCGTTCCTGCACGAGGAGATTCTTCTCCCCTCCCCTCTCCCCCCTTCTTTGCCACACGCCTCCGCCTCACAGCCACGCCTGGCTGCCCCGCCTCGCCATCCCGCCTCACTGCTCCGCCTCGCCATCCCGCCTCACTGCTCCGCCTCGCTACCAAGGCCGCGCTGCGCCGCGCCGAGCCGGTCAAGTCCGCCGTGATTGTGGAGCACGAGGCTGCGGTGTCGACGCTGTCCGCGCTCAGGGTGCAGGTTGAGCGCTCCGCCGCGACGTTCGGCCTGAGTTCGGCCACCGCCGATGCCGCGGTGGCGACGGCGGAGCCGGACAGCGAGTCCAGCCCATCCGCCGTCAAGGCGCTTCGCGCGCTCGAGACGGCGCTGGCGCGCGCCGCAGCTGCTGGCGTCAGCGGCCTGGCGGTGCATCGAGCGCAGTCCCAGCGCGCCCTCATGTCTGGGGCGGCTGAGGCGCTGCGGCGAGAGGAGGACGCGCTGTCCTGGATCCGGGAGAACATCCAGGCAGGCCGTGCGTGATGAGGGAGGAAGGACAACGCGATCAGCGTCGTCACTCGGCTCCGTGGTGTACCTGTGTTAGTGCCAGTGCGCGCCAGTCCCGTGCCCAGTGTTGTGCGAGGGAGTTTCGTTGTAAAATTCTTTTTCATGGAGGCTCAAATTCCTCAAGGCGGAGGAAGGCGTGGGAGAGGCGGACGCGAACAACCGCCGCCGGCGGGCGGCGAAGGGGCGCGCCAAGGAGGACCGCGCGAGGAGCGCGCGCGGAGCTCGCTCCCTTTGGGGAGGATTACGGCTCGGGAGGGCTAAATCGTGCAGAGATCGACTTGTTCGATGACGATGGCCCCTGAGGGGGCCGTCTGCTGTGTCCTTTGTAGTGCCAGTCCCGTACCCGGTGTCGTGCGAGAGGGGTCCTAGGACTGTAAAATTCTTTTTCACGCGATGTCCACCCCGTTGTGCCGCTCGCGCCGCTCGCGCCGCCTCGCCGCCACCACCACCGCCGCTCCCTCGCCGATCACGCCGACGCCCATCCGCCTCCTCGACCTCCCCACGGAGCTCCTCGCGCGCGCCCTCTCTCGCTTCGAATGCCCCATCGACATCGCTCGCGTCGCGGCCGTCTCGCTGCTCTTCCACGCCTCGCTCGTGGTGGAGGCCATCCGCTTGTGGGCGCAAGAGCGCGGCTACGAGCTGCCGGCGCAGCCAGAGGGCGAGGGCTGCGCCGTGCGGTGGTTGTGCTTCGCTGCGCTGCTGTGCGAGGCCAACCCGCCGGAGAGGGCGGCGGCAGGCGCCTTCCACAGCGTCTTCATCGACGGCGAGGGGCGGCTCTCGTCGTGCGGGTCAGCGGCAACGGAGGGCGAGGAGGAGGACGACGAAGACGAGGACTGGGGGGAGTCTCCAGGCCTTCTCGGCCACGGCGGGGGCGTGACGCGGCTCAACACGCCGACCCGCCTCCCGTCGGCGCTGGGCGGCGAGCGCGCCGTGAGTGTTTCGGCTGGCTATAGTCACAGCCTCGCCCTCACCGCCGACGGCGTCTGGAGCTGGGGCGATGGAAGCCTCGGCCGGTTGGGCCACGGCGACCAGCAGGACCAGTGGCAGCCCAAGACGGTCGAGGCCTTTGCGGGTCAGCGCGTCGTCGCTGTGTCAGCTGGAGCCATGCACAACCTCGCCCTCACCGCCGACGGCAGTGTCTGGAGCTGGGGCTGGGGATACTTTGGCCAGTTGGGCCACGGCGACAAGCAGCCCCAGCTGCTGCCCAAGAAGGTCGAGGCCTTGGCTGGCCAGCACGTCATCGCTGTGTCGGCTGGAGGGTACCACAGCCTCGCCCTCACCGCCGACGGAGGTGTCTGGAGCTGGGGCTATGGAGCCTGTGGCCAGTTGGGCCACGGCAATCAGCAGAACCAGCTGCTGCCCAAGAAGGTCGAGGCTTTTGCTGGGCGGCGCGTCGTCGCTGTGTCGGCTGGAGGGTACCACAGCCTCGCCATCACCGCTGGCGGAGGTGTCTGGAGCTGGGGCCTTGGAGAGCACGGCCGTTTAGGCCACGGTGACGATCAGAACCAGCTGCTGCCGAAGAAGATCGAGGCCTTCGCTGGCCAGCGCGTCGTGGCTGTGTCGGCTGGAGATCGCCGCAGCTTCGCCATCACCGCCGACGGCGCCGTCTGGAGCTGGGGCTGGGGAGCCTATGGCCAGTTGGGCCACGGCGATGAGCAGGACCAGCGGCAGCCGAAGAAGGTCGAGGCCTTTGCTGGCCAGTGCGTCGTCGCTGTGTCGGCTGGGACGAACCACAGCCTCCACAGCCTCGCCCTCACCGCCGATGGCGCTATCCTCGCTTGGGGCGAGGGCGAGCGCGGCTGCCTAGGCCACGGAGAGGACCTGTCGAACCAGCTGCTGCCGAAGAAGATCGAGGTGTGGACGCGGGAGTGAGAGGGGGGGGGGGGGGCACTGGAGCTAGCTTGACGCCGCTCCTCAAGCGAGGAGTGGCGCGGTCGGTGTCACGTCCGGCGAGGCAGGGGGTCGCACCCAATTACGGGGTGTGGAGGGTGAGTTGACCAAGGGGTTGTGCGCCGGGCCCTCCTGCTCGGCTCCAGCCGGTAGACAAGTCTTGTCATCAACAGAGTAGATGGATCTGACCTCGGGGCCGATGTGACCAAGCGCTGGTAGCGTGGTTTAACCTCACACCCATGGTCTCACAGTGTGCCGGCAGTCGCCGAGCAGTGTCGCTCACACAAGCCGCAGCACAAGTGACTGAGGGCCAATGAGGGCGAGCCCATCGCTGTCACAGCTGTGGCAGCCGCACAGTAGGCTGTGTCAACTGTGCAGAGTGTGTGAGCAGCAGAGGAGCTGCTCTCCAGGCTTCTGTCGCAAAGAGCTGCATGCCACCGAAAGCGCTGTCGAGGTTCGCCGAGCGCGGCGAAATCCGGGGACGCCGTCACCGACGAGCGCGTTGGAGTATTCACTCCGGACAAAGACGGGCACACAGCGGACGGTGCGGGGCGTGTGCCCGTCATAGCGGCGAGGCGCGGGACCGTCTGTGGCGAAGTGGGTCGCGTCCCCGGATTTCCGTCAACCCATCATCCACGCCCTCTATGTAAGGTAAGGTAAATTTCTCCACACACACAAAGTGGTGGTCTCGCTCGCCTGGCAGTGGCCGCCGCGCAGGCGGAGGACGAGGTGGAGGGTGGACTCCTTCTGGATGTTGTAGTCGGAGAGGGTGCGGCCGTCCTCGAGGCGTCGAGCTGCTTGCCCGCGAAGATCAGCCGCTGCTGGTCGGGCGGGATGCCCTCCTTGTCCTGGATCTTGGCCTTGACGTTGTCGATCGAGTCGGACGGCTCGACCTCGAGCGTGATGGTCTTGCCGGTGAGGGTCTTGACGAAGATCTGTCGCGCGCGGGACGGAGCGCGGCGGTTGGGCAGGTTGCGTCCGATCCGCCGTCCTCGCCGGCGGTGCAGGCGCGCTTGCGGGCGGCGGACGCCATGCTCGAGCCCGGCGCCGCCGCGAGGGCTGGGTTTGGGACAAGGGCTTGGTGCGGCTAGACCCCCAAGGCACGGCTGGCAACCGTGGCGTGGGGCTCGCGTTCGACAAGACCGGGATCGCTCTACCGGCAAACCTCTCGCTGACATGCGCGCCCCGTTGAGCTGACAGCGGGCGCGCTGAGGTCGCACGCCAAGCCCAGTTATATGCCAATGGCATGCGATCAAGAATCGGCTCACGCGCCTCTACTTGCATACGCTCACCCATAGAATTGTCACCGCCAGTGAGTGCGAGATAGGGCTAGCTGCTGGCGGCTAGCCCCTGAGGAGAGTGACCAGAGACACCTCACATGACCCCACACACGGTCTAGTCCGGCCTCGCGGTCGGCGGAGATTGCTAGAGGACGAACAAGCCTGCTCTAGCCTCGCACGTTACTTCCTGTCGTCTGTTGTTTGTTGTGCCCTTGTTTGTTTCTCTTGGCACCTTGGAGTGCTGGGGGGGGCGACAGGAAGAATGTGGCCCTGAGTTATGTGTACGCCAACTCAGGGTGTGTGGCAGCCAGCTGGCTGTGTGTCTTGTGAGCTTGTTTGTGTCTGTGTGTCGTTCGTGCGTGTCGTCATCATCTGTCCCGCGTCCACCCATACCGCGTTGGTGTCCAGTCCGAGCCTGACTGTGTTCATCTTTCTACATAAATACATACAGTTGCAAATGTGCAATCTCCTAGGCCCCACAGTCGCGGCGCTGACTCCTCACTAGCCACCTCATAGGCGACCGACCACACCCCACGTGGAGGAGACCCCAAGGAGTCGGAGGACGGAACACACGGCCCGAGTCCGTCCGCATGCCCGGAGTCACCTGCCCGACGTGCAGGCAGAGCTGGCCGAACTGGTCGACCGGCTCGGCTGCATCTGGAGGAGGGTCTATCTTGTGTGAAATTCCGACGTGAGTCGCTGTCGTGTGAGTGTGAGTGCGCCCCCCCCCCCCCCCCCCCCACACCACACACAGTCGCTGATAGAAGGCGAAACACAGTCCGACCAACGACTGGGACACCAACGCGGTATGGGTGGACGCTAGACGGGCGGTGACGGTCACAAGTCGCTGAGAGAGAGAGAATCCTTGATACGAAACCACGACGACACACACCAGTCGACTCGCATCGGTTGCCTCCATGAACGGCGGAGCTATTCTCGCGCCCACACCACACCTGGCTCCAACGTGGACACGCCCATAGCTGGGGACACTACTAGGTCACGCATGGCATCAGAAGTTTTATCTCTGGGCCCCGAAAGGCATCTCTAGCAGCGTCGTTACGCATGAGCCCTCCCCTCCTGGGCGCATACGCCTCACGTCTCGACAGAGCGTAAGCCCTTGGCGTGTGACGAGACGAGTTCTTCGCCATCGCAGCGAGCAGCACACCACTCGCCGCAGCAGCCGGAGGCATCGCCGCAGCACTGTCTCTCTCTCTCTCTCTCACAAGTCGCTGTCGGCTTACTCCGAAAAGAAGAAAAGCGAGTCGCGCGCTGGCTCGCAAGCGTAACAAACACATCTGATGAGCCGCTCCCCGGGCCTCCAGTCCTTGGTTGGCGGTATGCACACCCCTCACAACTCCCGGCGCCCCGCGAACGATGCGGCGCGTGTTGGCCTTTGCGCGAGCGTGCCCGGCCACTTCGCCCCACATCCCATGCGCTGCAGCGCGCTCGTGCCTTGCCCGCCATGCTGCGAACGCCCGTGGCTCGAGCGACACGAATGTGGTGCACACCCGGATTGCGGGCAGAGCGACGGCCCAGCGCGCAGTCTCGAATCGCCTCAGTGCCTACTGCGCTCCCACGACGCTCGAAGCGAGCCCGCGCCATGCCAATCCCAGTTTACGATGTTGACGCTCGCCCGCCGTCGCCTGCGTGCTCGCAGATCCAAAACAAGGTGGGGCGAGGGAGCCGCCGCGCATCTTGATGTCAAGCATGAAAAGGACGCTCTCCCCGCTAGCGGCTGAGGTGGAAGGGGTGGGCACTGAGGCGGAAGGGGTCCCCACAAGTGCGAGCAGCATCGTCGACAAGTGCCTGCAGCTCGACGAGGGCTTGGCAGCGGCGTTCATACGCGGCGACATCCGCTTGCTCCGCCGTGCATGGGTTCTCGAGGCTCCCGAGCACTTGCCGTACAGGCAGGTGCTTGAGGAGCGCGAGCGTCAAGGCGAGTTGCCTCTTCTCAGTCCAGAAGAGGCAGCTGCGCTCCTCGCGCGCGGCGATCGCAGCATCGGTGCCCTGACGCAGTGCGCGCCGCCCGTGCCCGCACCCCCTGGCTCCCGCCGACTGCACGCACCAACCATCCGAAGTGCGCGCCCCGCAGTCCCTGGTACTCCCCCGGCGATCCGGACCCGACGGGCGTCAAGCTGAAGATTCTCCGCGAGGCACTCTTAGTCCTCACGCACATCGAGGCCGTCTTCGTGGACTACGCTTCGCTCTTCCAGGCCAGCCGACCCGCCCATTCACGCCGCGCGCGACCTCTCTGCTGACGGCTGCCTGTCCTGCGCGCAGCACTCACCGAAGGGGAAGCGCACCGAGGCCGAGAACGAAGCCTTCAAGCGCGCGCTCGGTGTCATGGGCGACGTGTACGCTTCCGCGGTTGGCACGACGGTGCTGCAGATCAAAGAGATCCCGCCTCGCCCGCAGGAGTTCGACGGCGCGCTTTGCCTTTTTGGCCTCAAGGCCGGGGTGGACGAGGCGGCGGTCCGCCAAGCCCTCAGCGGCGGCGACCTGTCAGCCGAGTTTGAAAGCTGTGACCTGGCATTTGAGTCGACTTATGGCGTCGTGCGCTTCACCACGCACGCGGCGGCGCTGCGAGCCAAGGCGGCGAACGCCTTCTCGGAGCTGTGCGGAGGTGTCGACACGCGGTACAACGAGCGCTCGTACGATGGCCGCGGCGATGGCGAGGGCGGGCGCGACGGCGACGAGGGCCGCGGCTGGTGCGATCCGCACCCCCCCCCCCTCCGCGCATTGCACCCCTCAGGGGTGTGCGAGTGTCCTCGCGTGGCAGGTGCTGCTTCGAGGGCGGGGTGAGCGGCGAGCTACTCGTGCGGCTGAGCGTCTACCCGCGGATGAAGGCGGAACTCGACAAGTTGCCGCCCAAGCTGATCTCGCTAGCCAGCGGCAGGGCACCCAAGCCGGTGGAGCTGTCGCACAGTGATGTCAGGCAGCGCGTGCAGCAGGTGGTCGAGAGCATTGAGATGGCCACCTTCACTGGCAAGGGCGACAGGGTGGTTGTGCCCGCGTTGTACAAGGGATACGTCGAGCGGGTTGCGACGGTGCTGGCGTCCACCCTTGCGCTGCAAACGAAGCTCGAGACGGCCATGCACACGGAGGTGCCGGCCATGCCGTCCGTCGATGCGCCGCCCGCCGACGCCCTGCGCCTTGCCGACGGCCAGTTGCTGCTGATGCCGGGTGACGATGCGCGGCTCGCCGAGGTGGACGCGAGCGGGCGCGCCACGCACAATCTCTTTGACGACTTTGCGGCCGAATTGACCTTTGACGGCCACAGCCACGCGGTAATCCCGTGGCGCCCTGCTGAGGCCGACGCTTGCTTGCGTTGGGAGGCTTCGCTGCGCCGCGACCTCCCTGCGCTGCGGGCGCTGGGCGAGCGAGTGCAGCGGCTGTGCGACGAGGCGTCTCGCTCGCCGTCGGAAGAGGGGCTGCGGGCGCTCGGCAAGGCGAGCGCGGACGTCGTGGCCGACGCGGTGAAGCTGCCGGTGGTTGCGACGGTTGCTCGCCAGGCGGGTGACGTGATTCGCCAGGTGCTCAAGAAAGATGCGGATTACCCGCCCGGCGAGGAGGCGCCTCCGCTTGGCAAACGGATTCAAAGCCTGCGCGAGAGCCTCGAGCGCCTCTCCCCCGAGGCGATCAAGGCTCTGGCCGTCTCCGCGTGGCGCGAGGGCGGGCTGGTCGGCGCCCGCCGTTTCGCATCGGGCCAGCGGCTCGTCGTGCGCGGCACTGACGGAGCTTGGCGTGAAGCGGCGGCGGAGGAAGCGTGCAACCTCGACGGCGGGCCGGCGTCGCTTCACCCATGGAACCACGCTCCGCTCGAGGTGTCTATCGACGCGTTTGAGGCGATTCGGGCGTGGCACACCACCGCCCTGCGCGCGCAGCACTCGCACATTGTCGACGCACTCTCCGGCCGTCGGCTCGACGCGTTGGAGCAGTGCGTCGCAATCGAGGTGGCGGGCGGCGGGGTGGAGCTGGCATCGGTGGTTGACGCACGTAGCCTCGCCGCATGGCTGCGCACGTTGCACCAGGAGCGGCTTGCCGGCGGCGAGGCGACGCGCCCACCGGCCACGCTGCTGACCGCTGGCCCCGCAAGCGGCAAGACGACGATGCTCTCACAAGTAGTCATGCTTTCGCTCGACGGCGAGCTCGTCCCGATCCTAATCAAGGCGCAGCTTCTTCAGCAGCGGCTGATTTCCTCGCCTGACGCGTTTGCGTCGGCGTGGAATTGGGTCGACGCCTACTTGCGCGTCGCGCACAGCGAGACTTCGCCGCTGTACCGCATGCTGCGGCAGGCGATGATGGCGCGCCGCGCGCTACTCCTGTTTGACGGGCTCGACGAGGGCGGCACGAACCGCGAGCAGATTGAGCGGCACGTTACCGAGGTGCTCGCACCGCAGGGGCACGTGCTGCTTGCCACCTCCCGGCCCGCAGGTATCGACGAGGCCCGCTTCGCCACCTTCCACCGGCTCCGCCTCTCGCCGCTCACGCCGGAGCAGCAAGAGCAGGCGCTGGTGCAGCGGGTGGGCGACGGGCGGTCGGCGCCGCTGCTCGACTACGTGCGCGAGCGCGTGCCGATCGACACGGAAACGGGTCTTCGCGTCACGTCCAACCCGCTGATGCTGTCGATGTTTGCCTCGGTGTTCGAGCTACGCACT